TATTGAATACTTGATAGTTGATACACATCTGCAGAGATCCATCTTTTTTCTTTACAAATAAGATAGGAGCCCTAGCTAGAGATTTAGAATGACATATAAAATTTTCAACCAAGTTTTCATCAATGTACTCTTTAAATATAATTAATTCATTTTGTAATAGTCTATAGATTGATCCAAATGGTGGTTGAGTTTTTTGATGAAGATCAAGGGAACAATTATAAGGATGATGCTTTAGAAGAATATATATATATATATATATATATATATTTTAAATATCTTAAAAAATCTAAATACTAGCTAAGAATACTACTTGATGTCTTTCCACCACATAAAATAGGCATAGCATATATAGCAAAAGATGACCCTTCTATTGTGGCATGCATGAAAGCTCATATAAAGACTTAGATGTATTAGACTTATGTATTTCTATATGACTAATAAGATTTTGGATTAAACTACTAAAAAAATTATGGTTACAAAAAATTTAATCTATCTAAGGATTATATTTTTCCAATCTGGATAATCTTAAAATAATTGGATTAGATAGAAATCTTATTACATAAAATATTACTATACTATTATGAGCTTTAATTACTACATCTAAAAGAACAATCTCATGCATAACATCTCTAAAAGATAACAATCTACGATCTTTGACTTCTATATGTACGGATTTAATTTTATTGACTAATGATATTTCTTATTTTTTGAAATAATCTTTGTCTATAAAATAGACTAAGACTCTTAAATCTAACAAAGCTAAGATAAGCTTTGTGATGTTTTTTCCCTAAATAAATTTCTATTGTAAAATAAGATAAAAAGTTTGACAAGAAAATATGACCTTTACTTAAAGTTATGTAAGATTTCAGTTGCACAATTTCTATTGTAATTAGAAAAATTTCTTATTTAGACACATTGTCTTCTTTAGCAATTATGCTTTTTAATTTGTGGTTGCATTTTTTTTTGGATAATGTTGAACAATGTATTTAGCTTCTCTAAAATATAAGCATAAACTCTCTTGATGCCGTCGAGTCTTTTCTTACTTCATGAAGGATTTGAAACATACTATATCAATTTGCATTGGTTTTGGCCTTGAAAACTTGAAGGCTGTTGTAATTATTTGACTTGTTCTTCTCTAACCAAGCCTTTGTTCTTGACATCTTTCAAATAATTCATTGTCGCTTGTAATGGCTTGAGCAATAAATATTTTTAAAGATTTTGCTTTTGACATTGTTTATAATAAATCTTTGATATTATCCTTCAACCTATATTAAAATTGATTGATAAAGACATTGACATTCTAATCCATGTCATAAGCAAAATTTTGGAATTCAACAATATATATGATGGTTGACTATGATCTTTATTGTAAAGATAAGAGCTTAATCTCTACTACTCTTTTCTCCTCACTTTTTCTAAGTGTAGTAGTAAACACTTTTAGGAGTTATTTAAAATCATAAAGGAGTCACAAATCTTTTCTCATTAAAGGTGAAAATTAAAAGAGTGCATTTTGTGATAAAAATGCGCTTATAAATCTAACTTGAGTAAATCCATCAAAATTTTGAAAGGGATGCAAACTTACATTGAACTTGACTTGTTGTAGAAATCCTCAAAGTTTTGATCTTATTCCATCAAACTTCTCAAGCATGGTGAAACTTGTCTCCATCATACTTTTAGAACAAAGTTTTCCAAATTTGATTGTGAGGTTAATCTACTTGCTTCTTTTAACTACATAATTTTTTGACACAGATTTTAAACTTCTTCGATAGGCATAGGCATAGTACCTCTATTATTCACATTAAAAATACATAAAATTTCTATTTTTAGAATATTAATAAGCTCTTAAAGATTTAAAATAGTTACAAATTTATTCTCACTTTTGTTGAGAGTAGCATCCATAATCTTTCCTTCTATAGATAATTCAAATAAATTCAAATAGTTAAATTAGAGGAAGGCAATGTCTACAATATCTAATACCAAATGAAAATTTCCATAAAGAGTGGTAATCTACTCTCTTTATAAAAAATATCAATATTAATATATATATATATATATATATATATATATATATATATATATATATATTTTAAAAAATTGGATAGTTTGTAACCTTTAAAACACAACAATAGAAGTAAAATAATCTACTCATTTTTAAAATAAGACAAAAATAATAAGTTAGCAGTCTTGTCAAACTATGAAGGACATGAATCTCAGAAAAAGAAATCCTTAGTATACTCTTGTATCACTAAAAAGAAGTAAAAAGTCATTCAAAGATGATACACTATTGAACTAGAATGGTTATTGCCAAAAACAAAGAAACGAAAAAGTCTTGAAACAAGACTTAGCACTAAAAAGGTATTAACAAGAGTGAAGAAAGCTTCACTCTTACCTCCATATGTACTTTTATTTAAGAGCTATGTAGAAATGTTCTCTAGTACCTCTAAAACATGTTGACTTAGTAAGATATGTATCTTAACTTGCAAGACAAGTTTTCTATATGTGTGCCATATTGTTAGCTTGTTTCACAAGCTATTAACACATGATTAACTTGTTGATCAAGTTTCTAACCTACCAATCAATTATAAATACATATAAAGAAAAAAAAAACATCTATGAAGCTTTTAGAAAGCTTCTCTAAAAGGTATTATGAAAAAAACTTACTTTTATCTATTTTTACTTATTTCTACCTAATCATATAAGTATTTACTAGTGTATCTATGTATATCCTTGATAATAGAAGCCTTTTTTTTTAAATCAAGTATAGATATTTTGAATATAATTCATACTATTTGAAGCCACAAATATACCAATTATTTTTTAATATTTTAATAATTATTGATTTTTAAAAGTTTTATAATGCTTTTATTGTTTATTATCTAGATAGTATTTTAATCTATTCTAAAAATATAGAAGAATGTACACAAAATTTGTGAAGGCTTGTAATTGCCTAAGTATTTTTATATAGACCTTGTCACCTTAGACAATTGCAGGAGATTAATGAAGGTGGCAACCCTCTCCCTTTAGTGGTCTTGTTAACTAATTAGCAGATAGAGTCAAGGAGATGTAGAGGCATTTAAGGATAGAGCTCGTAGAAAAAAAATTCAAAATCTACATCTTGTACTGGCATTACCTTATAGAACCAAAGATCTCTTCATCATGGACAACTTCACCAAGAAAGAATTATTGCTTTATATTCACTTTAGTGATCTACAATATTATGTCAATTCTTATAGTGATTTCAATAAACAATTTCAAGCACATATTCATAGTCTTTGAGGATTAATACTTGGACCTTGAGTAAAGCCCAACTAACTAACAACTACTGCAAATAGTGCTTGCCACAACCAAACTGTGTGGAAGAATCTCAAGAATCTCAAGCATTGAATATTTCATTGACAACTTTAGAACTATCCAATTTTTGATACATTATTTGTTTGTGAATCTCATTCTATTTTTTTGTTTATTGCAGTAAGCATTAATAATATGTTCATCAACAATAATTCTTGTTCATTATCCATTGTCTTATAAGTGATAGTTACTATTCTTCTAACATGTCAAAGGTGGAATTTAAGTAATTGAGTAGAACAACAATGTAGTAGAAAATCCACTTTTTTCTAGTATAGAAAACTCAATCATATTAAAAAGTGTAAACATGAGATGGGTTTAGTGATTCAATATCTAAATGTGGATTTAATAGTAAACTATTTAATAGTTACATGTATATCTATAAGAACTAAACTATTTGTTTATATATATATATATATATATGTATATATATATATAAGGTTTGTACTCGAAGTTGATAATGTTAATGATTCAAGAAGTCAATAAGAAATTAATACAAAGCTTTTCACCAACAAGTGGATTATACTATAGTTATAAATACACATAATGAGTAAAAGGTGTAGTGCAGTAAAAATTGGTGATAAACATCCAATACAAGGTGTAGTTTTCAAATTTTCTTTGAGGAGCTTTGCCTCTAAAGGCTCTTGCAATTCCTTGATCTTGCTTGGTGATTGATTAATAGGATCACCAAATGGAAGGGCTATTGCCCATTATAACCTCCCTTGCAATTGTATCAGGTGGCAAGCTCCACATTAAAACATCTAGCTAATTATAAGCTTTCACGTTTTTTTAGGTGTGCATATAACAATATGAGGTGTTTATATAGCAACTTACGATATACTTGTAGCTTGAGCCATTATTGGATGTCTATGAATAGAAATATATATATATATATATATATATATATAATTTAAATTATATTATTTTACAAAAATTAATTCATATATTTTGAAATTATAAATTAGCATGAAAAGTTTTTTTAAAACATGACTTTTTTCTAGTGCCACACTTTACGCTATATAAAAGCTAATGCTTTATTCTAATTTTAGAAATTATTGTCTATTATATCTTGAGTTTTGGATGTTTTGATAATTTTTTTATTTATGAACTATTTAATTCTTACTTTCAATACAGATACATCAAATTTTGTGTGTGTATATATATATATATATTCAAGATTTGGTTCAAAATTGTATGCTGTATTCATTATTTTAGTTCCAAACAAATATAGATGTGTGAACCATTTGATACAACGAACCAATCAAGATTTCACAAACTGTTATGAAACTAAGAACTTTTACAGATGTGTGTAAGGACAATAAAGAAAACCTAATATCACACAATTTTTTCAGTTAACAAACAAATATGATTCATTTTTCCATCAACTTTCAAATGGATATAGAAGCTGTTGTTTTATTTTATTATACTTGTTTCCTTATTCTTAATGCTTGGTTTTCAGTACCAACATTTGATATCAACCTTCAGATATCTCCAACTCGTGAAGAGATAGATAGAGGAAACAATTGAACAAGGAAGAATATCCACAACATTGCAGAGATGGATGGAAATCAAAATGGGAATAAGGAATATGGGTTTCCCGGGCAGCTAATGTGTTGATTAGGGTTTCACGGGAAGGTGACGTTCTGGTTAGGGATTCACGGTGAGAATTCCTCTGCATTGTGAGTCTCTATTTGTAGGCTAGCTTTTGGCTTGTGCAATAGGGGTTCTTTTGTATCGAGCACAAATATAGCGCATGGGTGTTAACAATTGCTATTCTGGCGTCTCGAGGTCACTGGATGCATATACGAGTGCCCGGAGAGCGTGAATTCTGATGCTACTTCTCCATCTCGTTGGCTTCTATTCCTACGAAAGATCGGTTCAGGATGTCGCCTCGAACAATCGGTTGAGAGACCCGTTTCCCTTTTGGTTGATCGAGGATTTTCGATGATGCGCACAAGTATGAAGCGGCATAGACCGTACTTATTCAGCTCATTGTTTATGGGAAGGTGAAGAGATGGGAGTGCAGCAGTTTTTCAGTGCTCGAGGGGTGAAAGGGCAATCTGTGGACGCAGTCTTGAAGGAGGATCACAACTTTGGAATGAGGGCTTGGCCGACATGCCACAGTCTGTGTAAGTTTATTCTTCTAACAATGAAATTGAAAGACGACGAACCTGAGGGTTGTGGATTAGTAGCGGCAAGTGATGGCGATCAATTGTCAGGGACCGAGAATCGGGAACGAGGAAATTGTGGATACTACGAAGGCGGCTTGTTGTAGTATTTGGAGGAGCGTCGAGTTGGAAGGATGAGGTGGTTGCTTCAGGGTGGAGCGTACACACTGGTCATCCATGTCTGGCATGCGAGGTACTTCAGTTGACGGAAACTTGGCTTGATCAGGATCTTCCTGGAAGGTGATCATTTCGTTGATGTGTTCATGTTACGTTCTTTTCACGTTCGAAATAACGATGTAATTGTTGAAAAGTATATTCATTAAATTTGCGAAGCTAGCTGTTAGTGACAACTTTGTACTGCATAAGAATGTTGAGAAGTCGGAACTGGGATCAAAGTTGGAGTTTCGCAGGTGTGAGAGGGTAACGGTGTTGGAATCTTAAACCCCAAACCAAAGGATTTTCGTTACTCATTCAAACGAACGTGGTCGAGTTTTTAATTATAACTTTAAAAAATTTCATCATTGAATTGTTTTGTGAGAATGCGGTGTCGCTCATTGATCGCGAACGCTCGGTGGACTTTGCTGCCTAGAGTGAAGAGAATTTTTTTCTACCGGTCTGATGACTTAGCTGTTGATGCCATCCTTAACTGAAGTGAATTTAGAGAGCCTGTACACCAATACATCTAATCATGCTGCCATCTGTTGATCCCTAAATTGACTAGTTATTTCACCGAACATAATACATCCAAAAATTCATCACGGGAGAAGAGTGATGGATATTCTTATGGATGCAAGTTGCAGATGTTGAAGCAACTTTGGCATGTCTTTAGATTTTGTGTCGGAAGTTGTGATTAATCTTTTTCAGCTTTACGTGTTCATAGACTGAACGCTGTGATACTGATTGATGTGTATCATTGTAGTTTCATCTAAGTTTTAACCTGTACAAGATGGAGTTGATAGAGGTGGAAGTCGTGATTTATCTAGTTTCTACATTGTGTTTTGTCACATGACGTGGTATGTTGTAGTGGTCTAGTGTTTAACGTAGATTTGATTTACCTGACTCTTTCGTTGTGGTTTAGTTTCAGTACTTTATATTGTCGCACATTTAACACGGGTTGTATCCAGTTTGTAATGATTCGAAAATTTTCAACATCACAATTTTGTTTTGAATTTGGTGTGTACATGTAGGCCACGTGCAATGTCAAGATGTCCAACTTACATAGTGTTGTTTTTTTATCTAGAAAGATGAAATGGGACCGTGTTAAGTTCTTAACATACTCTGGTTTCAGTAGACTTAATTTTTGAGCAGCTTCTGACCCCAGCAATTCTGCTAGCATGCAGGCATTACAAGAGAATTGCGTGGGACCTGGTTCACTTTGGTCCCACTATGCGTCATCAAACAGTGCATATTTGAGATTTTTGTAAGACCTCCATTCATTTTCAGATGGTACATTTGGAATGGAAGCGTGGGGTCTTAGGATTCGCGCAGGTTGGAATCTTGTCTTTCAGCCATTTCTTCTCGCGGATGCCAACTCTGATAAGAATAAGACAGATGACGCAGACACTTGGGATTCAAACTCTGGACCCCTTGTATGTCTAGTTTGGTACGTGGAGGTACATTAGGAACGCATCCTTCGGGCAATCGAGACGCGTGGGATTGGTTAGGTATGATCTGGCCGGAAACTCTTCGAGAGCTTTTCAAAAGAATGGCTCAATGTCAGACTGCAGATGCATCTGCTGTCTTACATCTTATTTGATGACACAAGTGAAGATCCACAAGAGGAGCCGGGTGGTGCTAGTGAAATTCTATGTACCTGACTCTGATTCTAGAGCATGCTCATTAGAAGCAAGTAGCCCTCGGGAGAGTTTTTTGATCGTTATGTTAAAGCGGCAGATTTCAAAGCTGGGGCATTAATAGCGACAGTGGTCGAAATTTCCACAGTAGGCTCAAGTAAGCCTGTCAGTGACGCACTTGTTTCTCTCCCTCACAGGGAACTGACTGATCAGATTCTTTGAAGAGACGCAGGGGGTTTTCTTCCAATGAAACTACACAAAATGCAGAAAACCGAAAATGTCGCAAGGTTTTGAAGATCATAACTTCGAGCAGCAAATCCGTCGAATAAGCAAACTAAGAGGTAAGGTGAAGTTGAAGGAGTAGAACCACCGTCTCGAAACACTTCAGCAATCTCTTCAGGGTCTATATGTGAAGGTTGCGGCTTGCGAGTTTCATCTTGAATCACAAATTTCTGGCTTTGTCAGAAGGAAGTAAAGTTTAATCGGCATGATCACAAGAAGTTTTCTAATTTATTTGTGTGGAGATTACGTATGCAGGTTTTGTTGTTTTGATTCGTCTGTTCTTGGATTTTTGAGGACAGTTGAAGCAATTCAATGCAAATGCTTGTTTACCCATGACAGCTTTGTTCAAATATCTTTTAGAAGATAGCTTAATCAACGTCCGAATAACTTGCATTTAGCATCTCAATTCGATTTGCAGCCGGCTGCTGGACTTCATTATCCGACTGTATCGCCTGCTTCGGGTGCAATTTCGATGCCAACCTTTGGTTGCACTTGGCACTTGACTTTGGAGACAATCTTCAAAGATGCATACTCGATTTCTGTAGACGCCACATAACTTATAACTGCGTGAAGATTTAGCTTAAATGCACTGTAATATCTTGAATCCATGCAATGCAATGTATTTCAGTGAGCTTGCTCAATGTATGTCGAGTATGCTCAACAGAGAAGACCGAATGGCCCAATGATGTAGGTGTTGTCAACAATTATAAGAGGCTTTCATTATCAATCTTCCTCAACTACTTAACCCGGAAAGTAGTGTCGTGGTGCGTAGGCCTTGTGCGCATTAGACGATGGTGGGTGGGTACTACTCTCAACCGCCTCAACCTAATTAATTTCCATTATCTAAAGACATCAAGAGTTCCAGGAGAGTATGCTGCGTATTTCAGAGTTCTGTGGATTCCCAACTCAGCCTTAACGATTATAGAATTGGCAGATCAGATTCCATGAAGATGGTTCGATCTTTTGAAGCGGGATAATCAGTGATCTAGGGTTACTGTCCTGACCGTTCGTCGCATCTCCCCTTTTATCGTACACTACTTGCAATGCGGAAGTTTTGGTGAATATGATCAGGAATTGATAGTGCAACTAAGATTGCCACCCGAGCTATGTCCCTCGCGGCACAGTTATTCTAGCAATTGTTGAGGCAGTAATGACACACTTCTGAATGTCGCCGATTTTTCACAGATGCACCGAGACCCCAAGGAGGAAATTATTTGTAACACAGAAGTGAAGACTAACACGAGACGGCAATGCCTACGATAAATAGATCTGACACTAGTTATTATGATGTAATAAGAGCGAGTTGTTCCGCTTATGAGGTTTTTTTTCCCCGTCGTTCTAGATCGTCATCAGCTACGCATGAATTTCTAGCTTGCTCTTGGTGCATTTGAGAAGCGAGGGACGGAGCTCCGAGGATGGGGCGATTATGGGGGTGGGAAAGCGATAGTGCAGGACGAGCGCTAGTTTTTGCTGCGGCAATACTACGAGTGGGGTTGATCGTATATGGAGACTGGCAGGATGCACACATGGAGGTGCCCTACACCGACATTGATTACACAGTGTTTTCGGATGCCTCAAGGCTGATAGTAGAAGGGAAGTCGCCATTCGATCGCGACACATACCGCTACTCGCCGCTGTTGGCACTCATACTCGTTCCTAACATCGTGCTTCATCGATGCTGGGGCAAAGTGCTCTTCGCAGCCGCTGGTACGCTTTCATCTCATTCCTGTGCCTCAGTGTTGTGCTTGGTGTCTTTAATCAAATCAATTGAGGATGGGGGGCTGAAGATTGCGTGCTGATGAGCTAAGATGCGTTAATCATGTGAGATGTGGCAGGTTGGTAGGTTAAATTTGTGGGGAAACTATATGTATTCATGGCAGAGCTGAATGGTTATGGTGCTCTGCTGTGTGTTGCAGATCTGCTGGTGGGTATTCTGATTAGTCAAGTGCTCAGGCTGCGGGGCGTGGCTGACAATGTGCAAGTCGTCTGCGCCGCATTGTGGTTCTTTAACCCATTTACGTTTGCTGTGGCGACACGAGGGAACTGCGAGGCACTCGTTTGTGTCGTTATTCTATGGATTCTCAAATGCCTCATGACTGGTATGTTCAACTCCTGCAAGGCAGATTATTTGATCGATTTTATCAGATTTGGAGGGCATTGCGTAAAGCCTTCTGTTGATTTATTGGTAAGCCCTTGTTGCGGTGTTTTCGTTGTTAGGGCGGCTGGCTCAGGCCGCAATCTGGTTTGGAGTGGTGGTTCACTTCCGCATCTATCCAGTCATATACGCCCTTCCCATCATCTTCTTTCTTGATGAAGACTATCCTTCGGTGGCTGCCCGCATTTCAAAATACAAGCTGGATTCGGAAGGTTTAATGGGATGGTTGAACCCCGAGAGACTCACGTTTGGTCTTGTTTCTGGAGGAACGTTCTTTGCACTGACGGGAATCTGCTATTGCTTCTACGGCATGGAGTTTCTGCAAGAGGCTTTATTGTACCACTTCATGCGTACCGATCCGCGACATAATTTTTCCATATATTTCTATTATGTGTATCTCCATCATTCTCTCGGGTTTACACTGCTGGAACGTGTGTTGGCATTCGTTCCTCAAATGGGTGTTCAATCAGTAATTGCAAACTACTTTGCGAAGGATCTGCCTTTCTGCTTCTTCGCTCAAACAGTGGCTTTCGTCGCTTTCAACAAGGTCCAGGCCCAATCTTATTCCTCTAGTTGCTTGTTGAGATCAATCGTTTCTTTGAATTGCAGGATATTTTCATGATTTATCTAAGAATTTAGGAGTTTGGCTCGCCATGTATTGAAACATGCATTAGTCTATGGTTTCTGAATCTACTGTCATTTGGTTTTAGGATTTAACAAAATTTAATCGCATTCTCCTTGTCTCTCTGGAAACACCAGTGGCAATATTCGCGATCTTTACTAAATCTTTCTCCTTGGTGTCTCTTTCAGGTGATCACTGCACAGTATTTCGTGTGGTTCTTTTGCCTGCTCCCTGTCATCATTCCAGCCAGTAGATTGAGTTGGAAGAAAGGAGCTCTGTGTATGGGTGTTTGGACAGCTGCTCAGGTGCATTGGTTAGGCTGGGCTTACCTTTTAGAATTCAGAGGATATAATGTGTTTTTCCAGCTATGGACAGCAAGCCTTATATTCTTCGCTGCCACTGTGGGTATCCTTGGCGTTATTGTGCATCAGCACTCGCTTTGCCCTCTTTTCCAACAGGGCAAGCTTGTTCGGATTCGCCGGTTTCCCAATACCAAGTCTGATTGATAGTACTGTTTACTCGTGTGGACTAATTATGAGAATCTTTTCCAATTGCTACTCTTTGCTTAGTGATGCGCATTTTCAGCCTTGTTTTGAGGAGATTCGTCTCTAGCTTAGATTTGATAACCTGCAAACATTTTGAAAGCCATCCGCTTCAGGATCAACAGTCGGACCACTTGAATAGTTGAAGATATTAAAACCCGTCGCTTTCTCTAGGCGAACTGCAGGATGTCGGCTGTTTCAAATGACGTCATCTAACAGCAATTAAGGTATGTTGTTTGAGTACAGGACTTTACTATCCAGTTTGTGCGTCTTTTTGAAGCAAATTTTACAGAGCTGTCAGCAGCCTTCGGTTTGATGGAAGTAGACTTTAAGGTCAACTTATCGTTACCATATGTTTGGCTCTCTTTCCTCCAACTTAATTTTACTTCCTTTTACAGATCACATTACTGACAGCAAATTTATTCGCATACCAACTAATCACATTCCAGAAAGGTGGCGAGACCGCTGAATCACAGTTCTGCCGCAATAACATGTATACAGTAGGAAAAGGATTCAGAAATTCATCCATGCAAGTAAAATTTTCTGTTGCTTCCAGTCTCCAAACTTGGCTTAAGAAATTGCACTCTGATAGGATGATATTCACTCACTGTCAGAAAAAGTGTCTGAGGACAAAACATCATACAACTACAATGAATAGGCACTTTCAATACAGAAAGTCAGCGCTTTTGAATGTGTAGGGAAGACAACCTATTAATTACGAAATTTCTGCTTTCGAGAGGGTTCTGGCAAAGAGGTATACTTCAACACCCTTTCCAGCAACACCACATTCACATTAAATTTCTCTGCAAGTGATTTCACGTCCATCGGCTTCTCTTGCACCTTTTCACCTTCGGCACGAATACCCTGGAAAAGCCTTAGAGCTTCCTGAATTCCTGCAATGTTGAGAGTGCCCGCAGCTACCACTTTCTCCTCGTCTGGACCGGTGGCAGCTGAAGTGCGCCGATTGGAAGGCCTTGGTCGGCGAAATTCTGCGGTCACCTGAGCCTGCCCACGCAAATCGAACAAGTTTGAATCCGCCCGTGCGACTGGAAGGCTTCGAAGACAAGCACGCATTCTCGAAGAGTAAACTACTTTCAATTCACGGAGGTACATCACTACTATGGTCAGCTGTGAATTCCTAGCTATCACAACCCACCACAATCCCCAACGAATGCCCAAGTTCACTGTCGCTCAATCACAAACTTCTCTGCGAGCTAATAGAGTCAGAGGAATGTCAGAATTTAATTTCTAAGCATTTCTAACCTATAAGCTCCACAAATGACTGGAATATCCATTGTTGAATTTTTAAATAAAAGGAAGACTCGGTCACATCTGGTGGGGTAGAACCCTAAACCCTTCACCAGATAAAAATGTGGAAAGCAATCGAGTGGACGTGTTGGATTCATCTTCTTTCAACAAGCCATTGTTGAAGTTACCTATTAACACAAGATATTTCTAAGAACAGAGATCTTGATACAGTTTACCAACTAGCGAGTCGGCGAGAAATTTTGTATTGTTCCAAGACAACACTGTTTGAAAATTGAATTTCTGCGTCGCCACTGTGCAGTTAGACAATCACAAAGATGGAACAGAAACGTTGCACTTAATCCACTTACATTGCCCATCTCTTGAGTTCCACCAGGCCGTGTGCTAATTTTTCCCACCACCTGCTGCACCATCGCTGAGTACCTGGGATCTCCGCGATTCCACTCCCCCGGAATTGGCATTCCTGGTTCAATAATGGGCTCTGATTCATTCTCACATTCAACAACGTTAGACAACTCACAATCAACCACAGGGGTACAGCCACGTAACGTGTAGTGACCTTAACTCAGCGAATCTCTAAATTGAAAAGTCGGCTTCCGTTGCAAAATTGAAAGAAATCCACAATACCCAGATGCGAGCTTCCGATTCTACATCGGAATCAACCAAAAGTTCGTCCACTCACGCGGCTCTGGAGCCTGTGGTCGCACTTCGACGGACTGGCGGGGCACAGGCTGTGGAGGTTGCGATGGCGGCGGGCGAACAGCGGTGTCGATGTTGGTGTTGTTGGCATGATGCTGGGGAGGAGGCGCTCTTCGCAACGCTGCTGCTGCTCCTCCTCCCGAACCTCCTCGCAATTTCTGCAGAGCTTGCCCCATCTCAATAACGGGAACTTCCCCCACTTAGATTAATTGACGATGCCAACAACTCTACTCGCTCCATGCATCTCTCATCCACTCACTCCTCTTTGCAATTAGGTCCCTGCCTCTTCAAAAGCTGGCCATACAGCAACCAGACCTACACTTGCATGTTCGATACAGTTTAACAACACTTTCTCAAGATGAGCGTGATTCGGGATTACTCTACATTAGGCAACAACACACCCCGACATGCCAACTCATCCACCCAAGTCCCCCATCCACTGCTCATTGCAAACCTAGGTCGTTTCCGTCGACTATAGCCCCGTCATGGACACGAGTACAAGCCAGGTTCTTAGAAAGTCCAAATATCTGAATTATTAGAATAGAAAAAGACTAAGAAGAGAGAAAAAGTTGCCATGCTCTTCACCGCAACATGTTTTTTTCTCCTCTCAACCGAGCCCCTGTAAGATTGCAATACTGCCACTGTCGCTCTTTGACATTAGATCTGCAAGCTTTTACGATACATGTGCCTTGTGACAATAACGTTGGGAGCACATGCTTTGATATCTGAGGAATGCCAAATTAGATCTGATTTCAGTGGAACCACGCAAACCTTGGACTGTTCTTCAGACTATTATTGAGTAGGGTTTGGACTGACGAAGACAATCTTTTCGTCTCAGGAGACAGACAAGTTTGCTGGATCTAGTGTGTAGGAATCCAGGTGTGAAGGTGTTTCAGAGATCCTCTTCTGGGAGTTTCAGAGATCGTCCTATGCGCACGAATTAGCTTGAGTTAGTTGTTGGGTGCGCTGGCTCGACGGCCGAGTATGTGGGTGAAAGAGAAAGATTGGTATTACTGATTAGAACGCCGGTGGTTGTCATGAGGGATATCTAGCAAGCGAGCAATCCTTTTGTGGGCCCCTCGAGTGCGTGGTATTTTGAGTCGTTGTTGGATTAGATTGTCTATACGCTTTTGTTCCTCGAGACTCAATTTTCTGTAAAAAATGAAAGCAACTGAAATCCAAACCTTTAGCATTGTTTGGGTTTCACATAACGTGAGGCGAGATCGAAAAATAGCAGTCGCATTCCCGATCTCTTGTATTTGTCCGTATGCTTTTGTTTCTCTTGAAAATGTGGATCAAGTGTCATTTACTTACATTCTGTGGCTTATGTGTAAGAGTTGCAATGGCTTCTGATGTTCATGATGCACAAAATTCATTTTTTTTTCTCTTTGCTTACAGTAACTATCAGGAGTCCTTTGAGTTCATTCCAGTGCTCTTTCGAGATTGCTCGAGTTCCACCTCCGACTTAGACCTAGATTGTTTTTGGTGGAATTTATCAGGACGTGGCGACTATTTTTAAATGACAGCGCTTCTCCTTTATGCAAATTACGAGGGGATGAGTAACAAGTTCGGGAATGCAGCAAAAGGTTTTGACAAGATCTGCAGTAAATTAGTTGCCACACCGAAACATTGATCCTGGCTTCAAGAGTGGTCCTCGGTATTAAATATGGAGCTCGGTGTGATAACCGATCGTGTCGATCCGAACCAACCAATTTCCGAGACTTTGCGTCTGCTGGTATCTTCTACGTGCTTTTGGTGTGCTTGAATTTCGATTGCTATGTTATAAGAACCCTATCACCAGGCGTTGTTTTTCGCCACTGCCAGATCACAACCATACATTCCATTCTGGAGGGCTCGAATATCTCGAAAGTTGTGCTCCAACTAGATTTGGCTTTGGTTTAGGATGATTCGTCTACCAATTTTTAAGATAGTATCATGCTCAGGAGCTTGCATTCTAGAGTTCTGAGCAGTAGTTCGGAAGGGACCGAAGTTAGCCACTCAGAATGTTTGATACTTGCTCAGATGAGGTTATGTGTGAAGTTGGTGTATTATCTGTTTTCTGCATGCATCAAAGTTTTTCAAAAGCAGCAACTCTGGAATGACAACCCTTGAAATTGTTGGCATCGGCACAGAACTTGTATACTGGGCCAGATGCTGTTAGCCATGAAGTTGCTAATTACGACAACATTACAGTTGAAGAAACCATTGAGACTATTGGTATTTCACTTATTTTCTATGCCTTCTTCCATTCTCGAACTTTTGGGTTATACAAATGGCACTTTTTTGCTTCAGGGGGACGTGGTATTTTTGATATAGTACTTGTACGTGCGTTAATTGTATTTCTTCCTGAGCTTAAGCTTTTCTTAAGAAGCAGCTTCCCTATTCGGGTTTTGACTCTGAAATTTGTCGGAATGTTTGTTCAGGATTCGGCAAGTTTCAGATGGGAATCCTGACTTACACCGGCCTTGCTTGGCTGGCAGACGCTTCAGAAATGATTCTGTTGTCTTTCATCGGTCCTGCGGTAAACTGGTTTTTACTAAGAATTTTCTAAGGTTTATATGCCAATGCTTAGGAATGAGCAATCGGTCTGTACTCGAGGTTTATTTTTGCGTTGCACAATTTTGATCAAGTGGTAGCTTCTTATCGGATTTTGCTGAGAATGCGAAATGTTAATTGCAGGCAAAGTGCGAATGGGGGTTGCCTTCATTCCAAGAAGGCGCCATTTCGAGTTCAGTGTTTGTAGGAATCTTTGTGTAAATGCTATTACCTATCGTATGCTTCATGATTTTCTTTTATTGGAATGTTTGCCAATCTCTGCTTCAAGATATCTTATTCCTACTTTTTCTATTTCATTTTGTATTACTGATGACAAGGCTTGATACTTTTACAATGAATTATCAGGTGAACTTTCTAGCTGTATTTAAACTTGGTTACTGATACTTTAAAGCTCGTTGCTACGCAGGGGTGCTTATATATGGGGATTAGTGTCTGACATTAAAGGACGCAGAGTTGGTTTTTTGGCTACAGCTGTTTTCACTTTTTTCTTCGGGTTACTAAGGCAAGTTTGCCATGAAAACATGTTCATCTTGTCATGGAGGTGGATATTGATTTATTGGATTTTTTTTCCATCTATACTTATTCTAAGTCTTTCTATTCAAAGGTGTGTCATTGTAAGTATAATAGGAGCGCACTTACCATCTTTCTCAAGATTAGGTTCTGAAGGTAGCTTGCGAGCCTGATGTGAACTTTTAGTTGATTGTTGTTCTCTGAATAATTGTGAGCTTGTACATCTGATCAATGTTGGAACATATGGTTTCTTAATTGCAGCGCTTGGTCTCCAACTTATTGGTTTCTTCTTCTTGCTCGGACACTCGTTGGTTTTGGACTTGGTGGCTCATCAGTAAGTCTTAAAATAAAGTGTTTTGAATGACGTCCATTTTACATCCTTAAGCAACTTATAAAACTATCGTGTCGACATTTAAGAGTAAGTTAGAATTTTTGATCTGGAGATTTGTTTTTGGAACTGAATATTCGTGGGTCTAATCTGTATGCAATTTTTGTTGTAGGTGATCTTCTCCTTGTGTATGGAGTTTTTGCCAGCTTCCTCTAGAGGTTTTTGGCTTGTTTTCTTGAATGTCTTGTGGACGGTAAGTGACAAGACTAATTTAATTTGCTTGCTTGTTAACTTTTAACTGCTTATACTTGTTTTTATACATGTACATTACCTAGTATGCTAGAAAATGTTGTCTTCAAATTTATGGATAGTCATTTCGTTTCCTGCTAGTTTAGGCCTAGTTGTTATTGGCTACCTTCTTTCTAGCTAATCAAGCCAGCAACATTTATCATCAAAATTTCTCGCGGTTCTTCCCAAGCTTAGTTTTGAAACGTTTTGAAGAATTGTTTTGGATGTGTATCAGGTGGGCTCTGTATCATCAGCCCTCTTGGCTTGGGTTATTTTACCGAATCACAGTTGGAGGTCTGTAAAATGATCGCATTTATTAATTTTCTGTATTATAACCACTACAGCAATGCACATCTTAATTGTTGTAAACTTCCTATGCTTTTGTAATTTATGAAAAAGAACAGTAATGCTCTGTTGACAATGCTCAACAAGCAAGACTTGACGTTGATGAAAACTGCAAAATTTCTCCAGGATATTAGTAGCAGTTTCTGCCTTGCCATTCCTGCTGTTGCTTGTTTTCTACTCATGGGTTCCTGAGTCTCCTCGATATTTGATGGTACGCTTATCACAAGCCTACACTACTTTTCTTTGCAGTTTGATAGAGTTGAACTCTTCCCCCAATAGCGTCTAGCAGCTGATTGCAGGGGGGGTAGTCTTAACTCTTAACATCAACTTTTGTTAGATATTTAATTGGTTGTGATTTATCTCTGTAAACAGGTCAAAGGGGATATAGAGGGAGCACGGGAAGTCTTAAGACAGGTCGCATATATCAATGGAAGATCCTTGCCTACTGGCAACCTCTCACTTGCTAAGTCATGTCATCAAATTAACAATGGTACAATCTCAAATTTTGACGAGGTCTTTTTTAAGACATTCTGCCGTCACTTCAAATTCCTTATAATTTGAGCCGCAATCGTTAATTGAAATGAGGCCAGTCTTTAAATGTGCGCCTTTTTTTTGGTTTTTATGTAACTGATAGATTTTAGTTTCGACCTGGTTTTATTTTACAGGTAGGTTTTTATTCATCTATTGTTGGTTTGATTTAGTTCCTAATATGTCCAATTCATTCAGATAAGGTGGCCTCGAAGGTGAATACTCCGAGTGACAGTCTTGATGAGGTTCGTGGCGACACAAATCATGGTGGAGTCAAAGGAGCCTGGTCCATTATTCAACAATTGTTTTCTCCTGAACTGAAGCTAACAACAATCCTCTTATGGACATTCTTTTTCGCCAATGCTTTCACCTATTATGGGCTGGTGCTCCTGACAACCCAGTTACCCGTCGAGTCCCACGATGAGGTTGTCTCCATGGACGCTGGGTGTATGACAGACGGTAGGCCAGGAACGGACGTTGCAAGCTACAAAGCAGTTCTAATCACCTCTTTGGCGGAGCTCCCAGGACTGGTATTGGCTTGCCTGACAGTTGAACGTTACGGTCGGAAGGCCAGCATGGGAGCTCTTCTCCTCGGAACTGGCCTCTTTGTAGCCCCTCTTTGGAAACCTCTCTCGGAAATGGCTACCACCACACTCATGTTTGGAGCTCGGAGCTGTATCATGGGTGCATTTTCTATTCTGTGGGCTTATGCTCCGGAGCTCTACCCCACTAAGCTGAGATCTACCGGCCTGGGTTTCAGCAACTCCGCCGGTCGCATCGGTGGTTTCTTGTGCCCCTTCGTTGCCATAGAAATGATGAAAAATGGTCACAGGGTAAGCTTGACCAGCTGTTTTGATGCCTTTTGCTTCGTTGGTTTCTTGACTTGGCTTGACCTTCTCCTTTTTTGTGCTGAATATTGAGGCAGAAGTCGGACGAGGAAGAGTTGCCATAATCATGCAACATAAATCTTCGTTATTTTTATTTTTATTCATCTTTGAGTGGATTCTCCAAGATTTTGTGCACCCCTGACTTGATGGGCTTGTTTGGATGCAGATACTTTCAGTGACTCTTTTTTCTACGGTTCCTTTGATCGCAAGCATAGCCACGTTGCTCTTTCCAGTCGAAACCAAGGTATTCTCCTGTTAAGATTTTTCATTCATTGTTATTGTTGTTATATACTTTTTTTCCATATCAATTGTATGGTAACCTCAACTCTTCCTTCAACGTGGTTTCTTCTTGCAGGGGCTAAGGTTACCGGATGACATACAATCGCACAAGCCAGGAGCTTCCTCTGAAGATCATTTGAGAATTTGATTTATTTCGTTACTATTTGCTGTATACACTGTAGAGGGATTTGTTTGAAACATTGCCACTGAACTTTAGGCGGCTTTTGAGAAGCAGTGGCTTCAATATCCTATCAGCATTAGAACGCTGAAGACCTGTGCGTTGTGTCCACCAAAAGTCTTGGATTCATGGTAGCACTTGGTTTAGTGGCATGCCAGATTATTTGCGCAGACAAGGTAGTTTTTCCTTGTAATTTATTACATCAGTTGTGTTGCAATCAATACATTCATGAATCAGTTTAGCACACTGCTAAGTTTCGATGTGCATCCCGTATTCTTATGAGTGGAGTGGTTTGATGTGAATGTTGCCACAAGGAAATGAGCGTATGTGAAACTTTTATTTTGTTAAGTTCAAGGTAAATGAGTTGATGTTGGACCATCTCATGGTTTTTAGTGGATACAGTATGTGGTGAGGCTTGGCAGCACAACAACGTTCTTTTAAAAGATGTGGAAATCCTTCAACAATTCCTGTTATACATTTTATCTTTTCATTTGTCATTGGATTTGGCAAGAGGATGTCACCATGTGACTGGAAGTGGTTGGGTGAAGGTGGGATCATGTTATCTAGATGAAGAGCACCTCTCTAAGCTGCTGTTTCAATAGGAATTATTGTATTTCTGAAAAATATATTTTTCTTGTTTTTCTATAAATAAATTTGATGTAATGTACATTTTTCAAATTATTAGAAATCATTGAATTCATTCCATAAAAAGGACACAAAACTTAGTAGCTTGAATCTTATAAATTATGGAATAAAAAAATATAAAATTACACATGTATACACATATTAATAATAAGAAGAAAAAAATTGTAATTTGTTTGCAAATTAATACAAAAACCACATTCAACATATTTTATTGGATATACTATAATATGATCATCTATAAAATAGATATAGTCATTTTATGTATTTATCAAAAGAACTATTTTTCACAACATATTATAGGGTGCTGAAATGTTTTTAGGTTAAATTGATGTTTATAGTTAAAACAGTTATTATTATTTATACATAAATAATAGCATGACACAGTTGATGTCAATAATCATATTAGAAATAAAAAAAGGTGCACACTTATTATTTTTTGTTGCATTAAGAGGAAAATAAAGCATGATTTTTAAAAGTTTTATTTTTATTTTTTTATGTTCATTTGATTTAATCTCCCACAAACACTTCACTCTAGTGGTAGAAGGGGCATCAACTTCTTCTATATTCCCAAATCATTAATTTGTTCAATTTGAACAAACTTGTTACCCAACCTTTTCCCCTCAATTTGATGCCCACACATAAACTTTCCTCCTAAATATGGACCAATTTTCCCCTATCCCACTAACAAATTACATTATGTGGTGACATGTGTTGGCTCACTCCTATGGGATCCTCAATCCTTAGTGAATTTTTTTTAGAATGCATCCTCTTACTCAGACTCCCCCTGAAGGTTGGTTGTAAAAACGCCACGGACACTCTGTAGAAAAACACTTTTCATCGTCATAAGAACATGAAACCATCACCTCTTTCTGAAACTCCTACTGACACACACCCAATGTGGTATTCCACTTGCTTTGCTGGTGCATTCATACTTCTGATGGGTGATGATGTGATTTGAAAGCTTTTTGTGCTGCCAGAGATTGGACGCGATAGACCTCCGTAAGAGCGGAGACCTCTCACGGTCCTCTCAGTCTCTCTGTTAATCGACAAGCTCACTTACAACATGAAGGAAAGAAAGCCCAAAATCTGTGGGTTCTTGGAAGTGTCTGCCGCGAGGATTCTCTGTTGCTGCGCTAGGATGCTTCGAAGAGTGGGAGAGGTAACGCCCGTTTGATTCTGATGGGAATTTAGTTTAGCAGATTTTTGATGTAGATTCCAGGTTGAGAGATTTTTGGAGAAACTCTTCGAGCTGTGGTGGGTTGCTCACAAGAAGGAGCCCTGCTCTTGAAGCGGACGAGAAGCGGTACATTCAGGTCACATTGGCTGTAAATCCTTGTTTCAAACCTCACAAGTAATCTAAAGGAAGTTTTTTGGCTCATAACGATAAACACTCTGGTGAGATGTGGCGTGGGTTTCGTTCCTAGAAATGTATGACCCAGCACATGCTCAGAGACAATTCTATCTCTTTCCCACACAAAAACTTGTTGAAGCTTTGTTTCTCGAGCTGTGCAGGGCTCAAACTGCTGCAAGAAGGGATACAAGCGTTGAATTATTCTTTGAGTGAAGCACTCGCAGATGAGCTTTGTTATTTTATGGTCTCCATCTCAAGAGAAGTTGCAGTTTGCCTTGCCATGTCTCCATGGCTTCGTGGGGAAGGTTTGCCCTTTCGTTTTGTGTCTGCGCATGGTTAATTGATTCAGGGGTATGGTTTGATCATGTTCTTGGCTCTAAACTTAGTCCCATCACTACTATTCGTCGGTCAGGGTTGTAATGCGTGGTCCATCGTCGGAGCTACTTTCCACTTCCCATCGAAAGCTCTCATTCATGATGCTCGAAGGTGTTAACCTGGTCTTTTACATGCCTGCAGGACTGTGGGTTGTCCCTTTAGCTGGAATAGGCTCCTAACCGTCCAATGTTAATTTCTTGGTCGACGTCATTCGATGTGAATGCTCAAGACACTGAACGATCAAAAGCTCCGGATATTTTAAAACTTCACTTCGCACTGCCTGTTTTCTACTGCACCTGGATTGAACAAACTTCAAAACGCTGTCCTTCTCAGAAAGAACCACGAATTGCAACTTCTTGGCATCACCGTGATCGTCCACTGTGCGAATTTGAGGCTACTAGGCTGCGCCTCATCTTACCACATACTAGTTAAATTGCTTCAATTCAGTGACTTTGTTTGCCAAATTAATGTCCGTGGCATCATGAAATTGTTGTCTAATCTAAGCAGAACCACGAATTGGAAAGGGGGGGGGGTGTTCAAATTTAAGTGAAGCTATTTCGGCATGTGAGAATGTTGATTCGATATTATCAGGGTTTATAATTATTCATGGCTTGAGGTTCTGAGATTGATTGTTATACTATGAAGATTTGGTGGATTTTGAAATACAGTCTAGTATTCAAGTTGTTGAGTCACACTTCATGCTTTAGCGATTTAAAGTTGCAGATGAAATAGTTTACTGACAAATTTAATGATATCTGAAGCGGCTTCAGATGCAAAGATCTCAGGTCTCCGTTTTCTCTGAAAGGCTAGCTTTTGGAATGCTGAGGACGGACTGTGCAGCATTGCATGGAAGGGTTTCTCCACCAAGCTTTGCTTCAATGCGGAGTCTCTCTTACCACCAGCAGAAGTGTTCTTGAACGGCTTTATTTGAGTTCACCTGCATTTTGTTGTACACTTTAGTGTACCCCCAATTGGCTGTCGTCAAATATTTACAAGTTAAAGCTGCGTCTGAAGGATCGTCACTGGTGATTACGGACCTGATGACGACCATCAGCATTATTTCCACAGACAGTTAGTACATTCCAACTATGTTGGGGATCACGTGGGCCGCGGCATCTTACTGATTCAAACTCTTCAAAATATGGCTGCGACACAGTTCCTTGTGAATATGTTTGATGAACCTAATTCAAACATGAGATTCTGAAGAGAACTAGTCATGGATCTCGAAGAAACTAAAGCTGATAATTGATGCAGGGACGGAAGCAAAGTGGTTTGCAGACTATTCTTATTCTTATTTTGGTTTTGGCTTCTTTGTTGGAGTCGTCAGCAATTAGTTGCAACTTCATTGAAAGAGGGTGTTATTGGCATGATGAGCTTGTAACCCTAGAGTGATTCCTGTGACACAATACCCTTCAATTCAAACTGAGATACATGGACTTGTTTGAATCTGTATGCTTGAAAGCATTTATGCTTGTAATATTTCGAGTAGCTTGTGTTTAGTACGTGTAAAAAAAGGTCAAGTTGTTCTGAAGTGTAATCCGACGCATTGCGCCAACTCTTTGTTGAAGTTAGGGCACACATTTGAATGGGATTAGCCACGTGGTTGTCTTTTTAGAATGATCCGTGTGACGCAGCTAATCTTTATACACCTTAGTACACCAGATTTTAATATCTTCCTTCTCAGTGACACCTTTCAGTAATAATGAGGTGAGAATAGCTATACGATAGTGAGCGTCCACATAACACAAGACGGTGAATTCGATTAGAGATATGAATTCGAAGGTTTTAGCGTAAGACCGAATGTGTTTGGAGGATTTTCTCCAAACAAGAAGAGGATTGTTTCTCATCGTGTAGCCTACGGCACTGTCAACCTCTTGTGTCGCACCACCCCACATGAATTATCTTGATACTCTTGGCATTCGAAATTACAAAAAGATTCCAACTTATCATAATGTGGGGCTTTTCCATGGCTGATAACTGACAATGCATATTTGTCACCACTTTACTATCTGTCGCAGCTAGGCTACATTGAGATTGTAGTTCGTAATTTTGTGATCATATGTGAGAATAATTCATAGTGTAAGATATAGTCATAGTTTTCTCCCATCTTTTCTCTGACCTGTAAGCACGAAAACATCGATAAATGAATGGACAGTTGTGCATTAAGTCTGCCAGACATCCAGGCATGACCTTGGCGGACATTAAGAAACCGCCTCCTGTTACATTGTTGCGGCCACCATTGTCCAAGTACTATGTTGATCGTAGCAGAGAATCAGAGATCTGTGACCGAACACACTTGCAGTGCACTTCTGCACTACTTGCTGCTTTATCAAGCGTCTTGCATGTTACTAACGTAAATGTTGACAGATGGGGGAGTTAAAATGTGCCTCCAGGAGTAGTGACAGCAGGCACAACATGCCTGACTCGTTCATGTGCAGGAAGTATCAGTAGGTGGGCATAGCTTTTCTACAACCTGGGACGGTTTCCAGATTCGTCACCTGCGTCTGATGGACGCCAAACGTTCCTGTGGACCAAGCTAAATGATGAGCGACCAATGCTGAAGCACTGGTAGGACAGCATGAAAACAGCGCACAAATAAAAGAAATCCCAAGAGGATAAATATGCGTGTCAGGATATTCACGTAAATCCCGATCGAGACACTCACTGGTAGCTGAAAGCACAAGCAGCAGGGCATACACACCTGTCTAAAATCTCCAAATCTCGCACGGAAATTTTGGGACAAAGGTCCCTTTACAAATTTGTAAAATCATGACGGCTGGTCTTACCACACTGCGCATCTCAGTAATCGATCAAAAACGCTCAACAGACCGGAGGCAGCATTATCCTGTAAAATTGCTTGACATACGCATCCTTGAAACATTTATGTGGCAACAGGTCAGGTTGTACCATACATAGGCATTTAGAACCCGAGGCATTTGCACATACTGGCCATGTCAGCGCTGGCATACATGGTTGGAAAATGCTGACAGGCGAGTGTGGAACAGACAGAGAGCAAGACTACTCATATTGTGTTTATTCACCCTTTATAACTCCTTGCCCCATATCAGAACGCAACCCCGGACCTGCACTGTGCGACAACCATGCTCTCTTGCTTTCCTCCGCCAACCTCCAGGACCTCCTGTGCATAGTAATCTTTACATGGGTTGAATCCCTACTCTCTCAATCCACTACAACATACCACTTAGCGCCCACCCATTCTCACATTCCTCGAAAATTTCTGTTATAGCACTGTGCATACCACAGCTACGCCTAAGGTGGAGCAAAGCCACGACACCTGATCGCTCAGGAGGGGGTGGGGGGGATGTCCCTCTTGCAGCCACTGCAGGGTCGTTACTGCCTCACGCGAATTCCTGAGACCGCCTCACAATCCTCCTCACCTTGCGCTGGAACTCGTCCCTTTGCTCTCGCCATTCCTTGGCGGCATCGACATTCGCGGGCGACTCATCATTCGGGTTCGAAAGCATGGCGATGATGCTGATCAATATCGTCTCCACGGTGTGCACGGGCGACCACCGCTCGCTCGCCAGCTCGTACCCATTGGGATCGTCACCGGGAGCATGCAAAATGGAGATGCACACGCGCCCATCAGGGTACACGTTCGGATGCCACATCTCGGAGGTGAACCTAACGGTTGGAGGGCTGTTGGGGTAATCCGGAGGGAAGCTCATGATGGCGTTGAAGAAACCCCCCTCGTACAAAGTCTCCGACGGTCCGATAATGGTCACGTTCCATTCGAACACACTCGAGTCGTCCACAAGCCCAGCCGAGAACCCATCCACGGGATTCCTAGACAAATCCTTCAACTGCTTCCGCAACAGAAGACTCGCCTGGTTCTCCGCCATAGCCGCGCAGCAGGTGCTCCAACGAACCCGCGTTCCCACTAACAAACCCAAACCCAAACCCACACAGACTCCACAACACCCGGCCAAACCCAAGCGCACACACTCAGCGCGACCCAATCACTCGCGACACGCTTTCACCCGCTGACAAACACAGCAAATTGAAGGCAGGCGGCGATCCAGGGAGAGGAAGGAGGGAGGGAGGGGATTGAGAGGGCACACCGCCTTACGAGGCCGAGGCAGCGGAGGAGGAGGAGGAGGAAGAAGAGGGAGGGAGGGAGGGAGAAGCGGAGGAAGAGGGTGTTGCGTGGGTGTGAGAGGGTGTGTATTTGGGTGCCGAGAGAGCACAACAGAGCAGTGCAGAGGGTGATGCCTGTGCTGGAGTGTGGCCAAGGCAACGAAACCTAGAACGTTCTGAGGACGAGGACCAGCACGAGTTGGAGGTCGGCTGAGCCTGCCTATTATTACTCTCACACACCCCCCCCCCCCCCCACAACCCAGCCCTGTCGTCCCCCGTCCACCCTCACCAGCGCCACAGCGCAGCACGGCGCGGCAGGGCAGGCAGGCAGGCACACAGACACACTGCGAAGAGCGACAACGAGGCCACAGAGCCCGTCTCAGCCCTCATCCCCGAATTCACTTTCAGGTCCCGCAACTCTTTGATGAGCTGTCCTATACTTTCGCTTTAGCTTTTTCAAATCTACTCTGCTTTAGGTGTGCATCCACAATGCAGAGTTTTCTCCAAAACCAAGTCATATTGATGTGTCTTCTTGATCCATTGCCTTATGGCGTACTGTTCCTCACTCTTGTGTTGTGGCTGGCTGTGGAGTGGATGGTTGTCTCATGGATAGCCTGTCCAACCCCTCTTTTATGTCCTCTTCTCTTTGATATTTGCCTCTTCTAGTGCTGCTCTCACAGCTTGCCTTTGCCTAAACCAAAGAATGCTTTGCTGCTGTTCAAGCATGGTTGAAAACTGATTTTATACGTGTACTTCTTCAGTATAGAGTTTGTTGCCGAATCACTTACAATCGTCATGGTCTTCAGGTTGGATTCCTTCATGGCTGATTGATTGGTTGTATATGTAGATGTATTTGTAAGCTTTTGCTCATGACATGATTTTATGTGAGCTAGTCTCATAAATGCAAAAAGTGAGCCATTGTACTGGTTTCTTTTTAACAGTTTTGTGCCATTTGAAAGAAGTTGTAGTTAACTCTGCAATTTCCTGGGATGGTTCAAGTGTTCATAGTCTTCCAAGTTCTGACTCTGATTAAATCAAGTGTCAGAAATGTTTCATCATGTTATTGAGATGTAGAACAAATATTCTTTTAAGTCTTGAATTTATCTTTGCTATGACTTCTCTTAAGTTTAAGTAGTTTGTAATAGAACTCTACTTTTGATTTATGAGAATATGAGGAATTTTGTGATTTCTAATAGGGTTTATTAATCTTTATAATAAAATCTATAAATGAATTGAGTTATTTCAGGTAAATATATTTGAATTAAAAATAATCTTTTATCTTATTTACATATATATATACATATTCATAAATTGGAACTAAATTAATTATTAGTCAGGAAATGGATATTAAAAATTAGAAATTTTGACATGTTTATAAAAAAGACCAAGAGATAAATTATCAAAATAAGAAAGAAAGAAGAAGAAGAATATTTGCATATGGTTTGTGAAGTGACAAACTATAGCAAAAAGACATGTATTCATTTATAATTTTTTAAAATCATTTTTCTTCAAAAATAAATATTTATATTAAGTTCTTTAAGTTACACTCATTAATAGTTATACTCATTCATAGTTTCAAAAAGAATATCTAAGATTATTCACATAATTTTTGTTCAAAATTTAAAATAATAAAAAAATATTTTAGAAATATTGGTATATGTATATCTACATACATACACTAAAAACAATTTGTGCTATTGACCATGAAAAAGTTGTAAAGTTTTAATTTATAATTGCTAAGTCAAAATTTGACCACTTCTAAAGAAATATTTACTAAAAAATGAAAAGAATAGAAAAGAAATACTATATGGATAACAATGGAACCATCTATGTTTTTTTAGTATAATTGGAAAACATAATTTTTATTTACTACATATTTATGTTCTCTAATAGAAACCTATGCTGTTGGGCATTGCAACCTTTGGCACATCCATCCATCCTATTATTCATCTATGCTTTTTTGTATTCTTTAGTTCTCATATTTCCTTATTTTCATGTTTTTTTTTCCATATTTTCTAAGCTTCCTACATTATAGTAACACATCTATTATATTAATCATGTTGTAATATGGACAATTATGTTTTATTTTTATGTAGAAGATCTTTAAACTTTTCTTTTTCAAAATCTAAATTCCATTTATATCCTTATATATTATGAAAATGTGTTCTTTCTATAACAAAAGTACTCCAAAATATTGTTCTATAATATACTTTTAACCATGATCATATATCATGTGTAAGCTTCTAGAAGCTTCTAAGTTGTGTTATAGAACTTAAAATCACCATAAATCCAAAAAGTAAAAACAATCACTTCTATACACATTAAGAAAGATATTACATTTCCCGCAAGATT